TTCAATCCATCCCTCAAACGATACAGCCAAGGTATCAATCACTATGTTGCCTCAGGATAACGAGATTGTCATGACACCTTGGCACGGTGCTATAGTCAGGGACGCAGACGGGCGCGTTTCCATGTCACACGCAATCTTAGTCCCCGCCATGACGCATGATGTAATACACGTTGACGGACGTCCAAGCTACTTTCGCGAGCGATCAGACGTCTTCGACTGGCCTTCTATGGAGGTCACATTTGAGTACATGTATCCTTGTGGCATCATCATTCGGCCAACCAGCCCAACTTCTGTCTATCCACTATCTATGGTAGACATGCAGAAGGTTCGAACGCTTGCTATGACATGCTCTCCTATTGTCTTAAGAGGCTTTTCTAACACGAAAGATCGCCGCACGTTTACTGCCAAGGCACACGACCTTGGCCCGGTGTTACCTTGGAAATCAGGGGTTATTCAGGAAGTCAAAGATGAGTCCAACAACGACCCTCAAAGTAACAGCGGTAAGTTATATTCGATTACTATTGCGTGTCCTTTTTCCCTTTTTCGTCCTGTTTCGGAGTAAAGCGGTCAGCCTTCTGGTTATGGAAGAAATTTTCCCTTTGAAGATTTCTTACTATTCCGAATAATCAGATCAAATCCAGATAACTAACTCCACGTGTCGCAGTGGTGTCGGCTGAGGCAATGCCGATGCATTATGACGGCATGTTCAAGATAATCACAGTCAAGGATGAAAAGACAGGTAGGGAGAAGAGAGTATCGGACACCCCTCACTTTCAATATTTCGTGTCACAATCTGCGGCTCAGCCCGGAGACGGCTATACGCTATTCGCATCCTCGGATCTTTTCGCCCGGTACCTGCCGCAAGCCTACAACATCAACAAGCTTGAAAAGATCAAGTGGACGTGTCGCAGTCATGGGTTTTTTCATCATATCATGGAAGATATCCCGTTAGTTGTTCGACACCCAAGCCGAAACTCACCATGCATTCGCTGGCATCAACCTTGGCCAAGGTGGCGAACCGCTTACGGCTTCGCAGACATCAGCATCGATAATGGATCCCAGAGTTTGATCCCGCTGATCGACAGCCTGTTATTTGATCGTCGCGTATGTCTTCGTTTCTCGTGGCAAGAAGGAGACATTCTAGTCTCCGATAACTTTGCTATGCTACATACTAGGACTTCATTCAGCACCGAACACCCGAGAGAACTATGGAGGATTCACACTTCTTAGGTTGTTACATAAGACAGGAGTTATCGGTTCTTTTTTTTTTCCTGTGTAAAGAGTTGGGACCGAGAAGACTCTCATATATATGTTCTTGGCATTTTACCCCAACGGTATCTCCTTAGAGTAAGAAAGTCAAGGATTGCCACTGCTACAACTCATAATCAACAATTTTCTGTATTTTATATCAACCGAACAATAAATAGCACATCACGAGCACGATACACTCCCTCCAATTCGTGATAATAAATGCGAAGCGAACTCCTGCCTGAGTGTAGTTTATCCAAAACATCAACTCAAAGGTACCATTCCAGATTGTCGAAGCCACCATCGCACTTACCTCATTCATCCGAGACTTAGGCTTGGCCAATTTGACCTTCGCCTTCTTTGGCAGATTATCAGCTTTTCATATGGTACCAATATTTTAGTGTTTAATACCTCCAAAAGGAACTAGCTCATGAAGAAAGCACTTCTCTGTTATTCAAAGCAGAAAACGGGCAAGGTCATCCAAGCTTTAGCCTCGCCAAGTATCTACGTAGCATGGTAGGTGCTGAGGCAGTCATTTCTTCCTTTCTACAATAGATCCATCTAAGTTGAGGAAGCTACAGGTCTTTCAACCTTCCCGCTCTACCTTGAAGTCTAATGCCTGCCTGGAGTTACAACAACAATCTCTCAAAATTCAATAATTCATCACTCACACTCACACTTACCATCACAAGTAAATCATTAATTATCCGTACAAATCATAGCTCTCGAGCTGAAATTCAATTGTATTTCTGCCTTTCCTCTCCCTTCCGCCTCGGTAAGTGTGTCCGCGTCTCAGTTCACTCTGCCTTCATCATACATCAATATCCCCTTTTACGCAAATTGGCTTGTCATCTCAAATCATGTCGCCTTGAGTGGTTATATCTCGAAATAAGGCAAACATTCATTATTCTAGTAAAATACTACCCAACGAGCCTTCAGTGCGTAAATGAAGGCATTCACGAATCTCTATTAACAACTACCTCGCTGAATTCGCAGCACTGACTGAACCCCTCATAGCCCCTTCCTTGATCTAAGAGTTACTTTCAGGAAATCAACTATCTTACAAACCGACTCTCCCTAAGCCGAAATGGCAATTATTCAAGGAGTTCCGGGTCTAAAGGTTTACGTGGAGGTAGGAGGTAAGGCTCTGGAGGAATATGACGTACCTCAAGGCTCAAGCGATACACCACCTACGCCAGTACTGAAGAAACGGAAAAGGGATCGCACTGCCCCCAATAGAAGACGCGACATCAACCATGGTCACATCGCAAAATACATTGAAGTTGAAGCTGGTACCTACCCTACCGTGCAATTCGAGAAGACGCAGGCTCTCCCAAAAGACGGTCACCATATTGCGTATAGTGTACAATTTGATGACACTGAACTTGAACTCCGCCACCAGCCACCGGGGCGCATCTACGAGGATTGGGAAGATAGTGTCGATAGCGTGGTAGTGGGCACCAAGTGGAGCCAGATATCTCAACGATTCTGCTTCAAGAACTTAACACACGGCAAGTACACACCTCACTCATGATTGCTCCTACTTTACTGACTTCGCCGTAGTTGAGGATAATGGCATCGGGTATTCGCAGACCAGCAATGTAGGCACAATCCGGGTTGAGGTCTACCATATGGAACGACATAAACGGCAGAACAACGAACCATTCGATTGTGAGAGGATCGAATGTGAGAACATTATGAGCGAAAAGGCCGTATGTGGACGGAACTTTTCTCACTGTCTTGGGTGCGTATCAAATATATCATCATGCCTAGTACGCGTGCAGTACGCATGTCTAATATTCCCTATAGGGTAGAAATGGGCGAGAAAGTCGAAAATCCGGAATTGGAGTACTATGACAATTTCCTGGATAAGGACCCACGACCATTTGCTGTATTCATTTTCTATTACCGCTCACAAGGTTTGTTGTTCCAATACACTTATAATCTAATACTCAAGGCCTCTGTGCACCCATACTAACTAATTGTCAAGATGCTCTCATGGATATGGGTGTTCGGACTGAGGCGGAGGTTCTAGAGGAGCTTCAATCAATGCGCGCACAGCTTCAAGCAGACCGTCGAATCGCGAAGAAGAAGCTTAGGCGAGTTAAGCATAAAATGAGGAAGATTAAAAAGAGAAAGAGACGAAATGAATCCAGAGTATGTTACTGCCTTAGGTACCTATCAGGCAAAAGGTTTAAGAGCAATAATAATCGCTAACTGTTTGGTGCATTGAACAGGAAGAGGAAGAAGTCAAAGTCGAGATGGACAGAGGAGTTGAAGCTGTAGATCTAACAGGATCGCCTTAATCTCTGGTCTAAACGAACTTGCTAAGAAGTACATGGTACAAGAGTGGCAATATACCTAGCAAAACATATAAGGAGATATTGTATAATTTGTTCTTGAGAAGGCCTGATAAGTTATGCGATGATTTCGTTTACAACACTAGCCCTAAGATAAGCTACAAGATCTTGAGATTTTTATTAAATGTTAAGGTATTTAATATTTCAACAACTATTAGATTTTAAGGTAGTTTATAAAACAAAATCTAATCTTGTGTTATTTTTTTTATAATATTACCTAAATTTTCTTTAATATAGTTTTAGGCTGATGTTTATTTAATTATCTAGCACCTTAGCTGTAAATAAGCATAAGTATGGTTGCCTTTAAAGCAGCGGCTAGCACAGCACACATTGCCACAATCGCGGTAAAAACTTTGCCTCATAATCGTTTAACAATATAGATCCTAGATCTACATTCATTTAAGGGCTGAAGGAACTACTGCTATAGATCGCGGGAAATAGCAAAAGAAACCAATTAATCAACACTATACTATCCCTACACATTCAAAGTGGACAAGCAGTCAAGTCTTGTTGTAACATTAAGCTCGCCAGCTAGTGTCCCACCTTTCCGCCAATGGTGCTGTTTAGTTTAATGGAGCAGGAATTCTACGCTGCAAGCCCCCCGAGCTTAAAATAATTCTGAAATCAAATATCAAGTGCCAGCACTAGAGCGTTCTTTAAATTCATGTTATAGTCCTGAAACACGATCCTACCCGTGGCCGCGACCTCCTGGGTAAAGTGTATAATGGTTCTTATAAATACGCCAACATTATTTCACACAGGATATGCTTAGGTGTAAATAAGTCAAGATGGAATAAGCCCAAGGATAGCTAAAAGCAAGTGAACCTTTAGATGGACATATTCTCGTGCTAATTCTTGTCGAAATTATATAATTAAAGGGCGCTGGAATATTCGAATTAATATTTACACCCTCGCATCAGTGGTTTAGTGGTAAAATCCATCGTTGCCATCGATGGGCCCCGTGTTTGATTCACGGCTGATGCAATGCTTAATGTGTTTTCTTCTTGTCCGTCATCTTTTTTTTTCTTGCTCTCACGGGCAAAACTAACCAATAGCTTAAAGATGCGTGAATAAAGCTGGGTCACTTACTTAGTTGTTGCAAACTTTGCTTAAGTGCAGCGCTTTAGCTAGGCGGGGTCTTGTTTATTCTAGAACCCCCACTAACACATATACACCATGGCTTAATATTAGGTCCTAGCTATGTATTACGTTAATAAAAAATAATAATTAAATAATACTTGATGGTTTTGTTAATAGCCAAGTTGCTGTTTATAATGGGTCATTAGTTTAGTGAATATTAAAACTCTGCAAGCTTTAAACAACTCCCTTGGTCCGATCTGACAAATCTTGAGGTATCTATGGCGACTCACACTGCTTTATCTATATGACCGAGCGAGTTTGGCCGAGTGGTTAAGGCGTCGTGTTTAGGTTTATTCGGCTCTGACCTGGTATACCATAATTCCCGCGATGGGAAACCGCGCAGGTTCGAATCCTGCAGCTCGCAATGCTTTTACTTTTTTATCTTGTTTGTCTTGCTTCTTTGTTCTTCATTTTACTCGTGGTTTAGCGTCGCGAAGTGCTTTGGTGATTTGGTAGCTACGTTGATCGCAAAAACTTGGGACATAAGGAGCAGGCGCAACATTTCAAAGCAAGAGATAGGTGAGAAGCGTATATATGAATGAGAAGGCTATAAACCTCAATATTATTTTGTGCGGTTCCTCTCGTGTGGCAGAAGTCACGCAAGACTACTTACAGAATCACTCCGTCATGTGTGATGATTGATCTATCCCATCTGGGTTTTTACATAACCCATGTTCATGCACCTGAGAGAAGCCAGTAGCGCCTCCGTCTGGATCAGTCCCTTGTAATGTGGTGTCTATGTCACTCTATCGAGTAGTGATTAGTCTCAGTCGTTCAACAGCGCATCCGTTGTCGGACCATCGCTTCATGAAAGAAGGTACACAGTCTTATTCCCTCCTCCGCCCCTCAACTTCCAATATACCCATAATGTTGTTTCGAACAATAAAAGATCAAGGTTTACCGAGCGGGAAAAAGTTAATAGTACCTATCAAATCGTCAAAGTCCGATGCCTCCTCCTTTGTTTCAATAAAACAAAGGACACAACCTGTGCAAAAAGGTTCCTAGTATTATATCAAAGACAACATCTTATAAATAAGGTTATTGTTGTCGTTATAATACCTTTGTAAACTATCGATAGATATTTATTCCTTCTCCTGGAGCAAAATGCTAAGGGAATATCACACATTCAAACACAGACTGCCTTTAAACCAGTCATCACCATGGCTCGAGTATTCTGCAAAGTACCTGGTTGCAACGAACCCAAAGTCAGGAAAAGTTACTGTCAGCACCATCTGGACCTGGAAAAGCACGAAAAAGAGTTAGCAAAAAGGACCTCCTATCAATCCCTTAAAGCGCGAGGGATATGCCCTAGATGCATAAAGCCTTTCCAAGATGGCATCTGCCCGCCTTGCACAGCTAGGCGTCATGAAAAGCGACAATTCCTTAAAGAAAATAACCACTGCAGATGCGGCAGGCCGCTAGAGGATACCTACCTTGTCTGCTTGCATTGCAGGATTAGAAAGAGGCAAATAAGGAAGGGTCTCTCGGCTGCAGGCCGTTGCACTTGTGGCAGAGATCTGGATCCAAGATTTACATTCAAGAGGTGTGCCCTTTGTAGGTCCACTAATTATGGGAAAAAGAAGCCAAGAAGAGAGAATGAAGCGACTGTAGCAGAGCCACTTTCAGATTCCCCAGTCGATTCCCTAGCGGCCAAGAAAGTTTACCCCCGAGATTACCTCCCCGACCTCCCCGACCTTCCCGACGATTTCCCCTTTTCTCCAGAGTTCCACCACTCTCAGCCAAGGAATCCCCCCAACCCATCCCCAGGGCAGGGCCAGATTAACGATAATGGGCAGCGCTACGGGCCGCTCCTTGCTTCGGCATGCTCTCCTAGGCAGAATCCCCAGATGCAATGGCATTCTGAGGATATACTGCGCGACAGATTCACTCTCTTAAATGATACTGAGTATCCCGTAAAGTGCAGGGACAAGGAGCCGATCTGGCAGCCGTCTTCGGATTTTGATTACCGTCGTGGTTTGATGGGACATTACGAAGCAAACGGACCATACTTGCCTTCCGCCGAGGGCACCGCTATCCCGCCACCATCACAAAAGATGGAAGGCGAACTCCTATATAGAAGTTCTCCGAGGACTGGGAGTAATTTACCATGCGAAAATAAGAGCAGGAGAATTACCGTTGCTAGCATGCTAAATTAGGGGCACAGTAAAGATAATCTACAAGCGCTCTATCGAGCCCTACTCTATACTACTTGTTGTTTAGCTTTTTCTGTCTTTGTAAATAATATGAATAGTTATGCCACAGCAGCAACTTCTTAATAAGTCGTCTCCTTAATTCTTTTGTCTTTTGTCTTCATTCCTTTACCTTGCTTCTACCTTCTTTTCTTTTTCTCGTGCTGCATATTAATTTTCCACTACACAAGATCTTAGCACGTTTGAGTTCATTTATTTAGTTAACCGTGTAGAGTGTCTAGGTCATGATCTAGGGAATCATATTACTGGCGATCAGAATGTAGGTCGTATCATGCTCGATCAAAACGAAATTGAGTTTTATATTGGGACGTTTAACATCCTTCTAATATGACAGCGGACTCGAATTATAGCAATACCGCCAAGTTCGAGGTTGGTTTACAAATTTTCAAAAGAGCGCCATAAAGTAACAGAGGACATTCTTCCTTGATACGCGACAGGAAAACATCGAGAGTATTACATATTTGCACAATGCCCCTCCTTTGTTTTGATTGCATGAGGAGCATTTATTCAGCGCAAAAAAGGGTTAAAAGTCAAAGAAAACCCTTCATAAACAAAGTAATTGTTGCCAATATGATAGGCGTTGCATGAGTAACTATCAATAAATATTTACTTTCTCTCCGAAAGAAAAAATTGCTACAATGTTCAAAGATCTCACATTCAATTACAGGCTACCTTCTAACCAACAATCACTATGGCTTCAGAGACGGTCGATCAACAGAGACCAGCAATGTGTGTCAGAGCTGGGTGCAACGAACCTATATTCAAGAAGAAGTCTTGTCGGTCCCACCTAGAAAAGCACGAAGAAATGATAGAAGGAAGGAGGCGTAAAAGGCTCTCCGAATTTTATCCTCACATTGATCCCGATCTCCCAAAAAAGGAAATAGATAGAATAAAAAGGAAGGACAGACGACAACGACGAAAAGCGGCAGGTTTATGTGCCTGCGGAAGGAAGACCATGAAAACTGGTGGCCGCCTCTGTCTGCTTTGTTTCACCAGTTATAAAAATAGGCAGAAATACTGTAGGGAAAATGATCGCTGCTTCTGCGGCAGGCCGCTGGGGGAAGAAAAGGATACTAACGCTTCTTGCTTGTTCTGTCGGACTCAACAGAAGCAAAGGAGGGAGAGATTATTGAGCCAAGGTTTATGTACGTGTGGCAACGTTTTAGAGCCTACGTACACGAACTGTGCTAGCTGTAGACTTAAATATGGATATGGTGGGAAAGGGACAAGAGAAAAGACGGCTGCAGGAGCGTATCAAGGCGCCGTAGCAGAGCCATTATTAGATCCCCCGGTCAATTCCACAGCTGTGGAAAGCGAGCCCACTCTCGTACACGATGGAGGTCCTCCGGGGACCAGAAGTGGTAATTTACCGGACGAAACTAAAAGCAACAGAATGTCTATCGCCAGTATGCTAAATTAATGGTATGTAGAGACCTAGATATGCTGAGAGCTCTTCAGTATTAGTACTATAACAGTTACTAACAAGCTTTAAGTCTTGTAAGCAATGTATTAGATGTAAGCTATAGCAACAACTTTAAAGATATATTGTCCCCTTAATTCTTTTGTCTCGTTTCTTATATCTTGCTTCTACCCCTTTTTCTTCTTTTTCTCGTTTTATAAGTTGATTTCCTGCGATATGCGTTGTTGCAAGTTACGGCAAATAGTCAAGCGTGTGAAATGGGTGGGTGATGATTTGGGAGGTTATACTAGCGATTAGATATTTGTGCATATTACTTCATGCTTGGTGAATAATTCTTTTTTATACTAGTAACCTAAGATACAGCAAAGACCTCGGTATCAAGGTTGGTTAACTATATGAGTTTAAGAGAGAGTAATAGAGTATTAGAGGGCATTCTTTCTTGATACAAAGGAATATGTTGGCGGTACTCGTTTAATGGTCAAAATGTCAAAGTATAAGGTATAGAGAGTGAAACTGAGCTAGTGGTAGGTCGCTGTTAGGTCGAACGTAGGAGGAAGGACTTCGTGTTATTGATTCCTGAGTCTCTCTCAATTGGTTAGGAGTGACTCCGACCTTTCTATAGCCAGATATCTATCGTATACTCACTCATGAGCCCCCCCCCACTAGGCTCTTGTGCACTTAGTGCCTGACACAAAATCGCCATGTTTGTCTCCTTTGTTTTAATAGGGATATATATTCTGCGCAAAGAAGGCTTGAGATGTGTCAAAGAAAACGTCCGACAAACAAGTTAGTTATTGTTATTATAATAGGCTTTGTGATATTGACTAACGACAGATATTTATTTCCTCCAAGTGCCAAGAAGCCTAAAATGTTCGGAAATCTCAGACACACAGACGGGCCTCAAACCAATAATCATTATGACTTCAAATTCGATCAAGCAGCAGAAACCAGTGATCTGCAAGGCACCAGGATGCAACAAACGAGGAGTTAAGAAGGGTCGTTGCCAGCACCACCTCGAAAGGTACGAAAAGAGTTTGGAAAACACGAGGAACAAGAAACGGTTATGGATAGAGCAAGGGCTATGTAACTGCGGCAAGAAGGCCACTCGAGGTCATCGCTGTTCGACCTGTATAGCCAAGCGTCGTGAAAAGTACGAAACCCGTTTAGAATTTAATCGCTGTACGAGATGCAACAAGCCACTAGAGGGGAATACCCGCCACGTCAATTGCTTGGCTTGTAGAACCACACAGAGAATCAAAACGAGGCAAAGAAACGAGAATCGTTTCGCACAAGGTCGTTGTTGGTGCTGTGGCAAGGATATTGATCCGGACCGGCTCCCTATCAAGACGTGTGTTTCATGTACGAGAAAGACGAACGCAAATAGAGCGGCAAGGCGATTATTAGATTCTTCGGTTGATTCCCTGGAGAAGGTAGAAAGCGAGCCTGCTCTTGTAAACAATGAAGGTTCCCTAAGGACTGGGAGTGGTGTTCTACCGGGCGAAATTAAGAGCCGCAGAATAACTATCGCCAGCTTGTTAAATTAATGGTATAGTAGAGACCTCGCTAGTACCCTATTCCCAAAACAGCTACTGTCAAGTTTTCAGTCGTCGTAAGTAATGTTTCAATATGAGTAGATATGTTATAGCAACAAGTTCGATGTAACTCGTCAATTTTCGCTTGCTCTAGTAAAAAGGGTATCCTGTTGTACAATTACTTCCAACATTTATCTCATGA